GGGGTCAGAATGGTTTGGCTCATGCAAAAAAAAAAAAAAAACCAAAAAAACCAAATCAGTCCGCTGTGAACTTGCTGCTCTCCCTGCAGTGTCTGTATGTGTCGCTGCCTGCCCTGCTGGAGTGCAACCCCTTCCAGGATGAGAGCCGGGAGAGCTGGCGGGCGTCCCCGCCACTGCCCGAGGAGCTCCGCAGGGCCGTGCTCATCTACCAGGGGGCCCTGGACCTGCTCCGCCAGTACGAAGTGCACCCGGAGATCACCTCCCAGATGTTCGCCTACCTCTTCTTCTTCTCCAACACCCTGCTCTTCAACCAGCTCCTGGATAAGGGTCAGTCCTCCTCGAACACCCAGCGTGGCCTGGATAACCTGTAGGGGACCAGCCCTTCAGGAGACCCTCCAGTCCATCCCAGTGCCACCTCGGGGGGTACAGGAGGGAGGGGGCTTCAGGCAGCTTGAGGGGGATGCAGATGGGCAGGTCTCAGCACAGCTGCAGGGAGGCCAAGCACAGCCCCAGCTGCTGTCTCCAGGGTCCCTATTCCCAGGAAGGGTTTAACCCCATGAGTGCCCCATCCTCACCCCCTGAGGAGCATGGCCCTTTTGAGCCTGAGCAGAGGCTGAGAGCAGTTTGGAGGGGCAGCTCATTAATAAACTACTGCAGCCTGCTTTGTAACTGAGGTGCTCGTTAGTCCTCATTAACGCAGCAGCCCCATTGCCTGCTGTTAGTGCCAGGCGAGGTCCAGCCACCGCCTGCAGTTACAGCTATAGGATGCTGGGGACGTTAACCTGGATTTATTTTGCTGCCCTGGGCAGCCCTACCCCTGGGGCAGGGGCTGGGCTCTGGCCGAAGGAGGGGAGCACTGGGGGGCCGTTCCCTGACACGCAGTGATGGATGCTCTGCCTCCGCAGGCTCCTCTCTTGGCTGCTTCCACTGGTCGCAGGGCGTGAAGCTGCGGGCCAGCGTGCGGCTGCTCCTGGAGTGGCTGCATGGCGTTGGCTTCGAGCAGCTCGCCCAGCAGTTCTTCGCCAAACTCACCAGCGTGGCCAACCTGCTGGCCATGCCTGGCTCCCAGCTGGTCCAGGTGAGAGACCCTGCTTGGCATTTGGGGGGTCCCTGCAGTGATATGTCCCTTCTTCTGCAACCTGCCACCACCTCCCCCTTCCTGCGGTGGTGGGTCCATGGGTGGGCTCACTCCATCTTGCCCAACCTCTCCCTCCCACCCCCTCGTGAGCCCCTGCTCCTCGGAGAAAGCAGCTCCTCACCTCTGCAATTCGCCCCGCGCTCTGTCTCCTTGCTCAGATGACCTGGCCGTCCCTGCGAGCCGAGTTCCCGGCGCTGAGCCCCGCGCAGCTCCACCGGGTGCTGAGCCAGTGCCAGGTGGTGATGGATGTGGGCTGCATCGCAGCGTGGCAGCCCAGCGAGGAGGAGAGCCCGGCCGCCTTCCAGCCCGGTGAGCCCCTGGCTTCACGCTCAGCGCTGCTCCGGTCACTGTGCTCTGGTCACCCGCAAGCTCCCTCCAAAGTTTTTATGTATAAACCAAACAGGCAATTCCCTTCCCCTCCCTGGGACGCCTGTAGTAACTGCAGCGATCAGGAATAACCATGGTGCTGTGATTTGGATATTGCAAAGGATGCAAAGCGCACTCAGAAGGGCTTGGGGCTCTTTCTGCATTCCCAAGTGAGGGATGCTGCTGCCTTGCAGCTCGCCGTGTCCCCAGTCCCCTCGGGCAGACCGCATGTGGCCGAGAGCTGGGAGGCAGGAGCGGGGTGCAGCCCGGGCTGGTGCCAGCCTCCCTCCCTCTGCCTTTCAGCTGAGGTGCTGGAGTCCTTCGACAATCACCCGCCCATCATCCTGCCCAGCGGGGGCTTCAAAGTGGACCTGGAGGTGGAGACGTTGGACGACAACATCTACCGGCACCTCCTTTACATCCGCCACTTCCTCTGGAGCCTGCAGAGCAAGAGCCCCCGCACCAGTGAGGGGCCAGGCTCAGCACCCCCAAAGGTAGCCTGTACCCCACGGAGGGGCTGTTCCGCTCCTGGGGGGGGGCAGGAGGGTCTTGGGTCCCTCTGGATTCCCCTCCAAGACCAGCGCCAAGTGCTTGCTGCCCTGCCCTCATGTAGAGCTGCTAATCCCCCAGCCTGGCGGGTGCGGGAAGGTGAGCTGGAAGGACAGGCTCGTCCCAGCAATCTCGTTAATGGGGAGGAGGGAGGAAGGGGGGGATGTCTGCAGGCAGCGCTCCACTTCTCCCTGCGTGTCCCCCCTGTCCTCCCTGCCCTGCCTGTCCCCGCGTAGCCGGGCAGGCTTGCACAAAAGCACTAATTAGCTAATGCCTATAAAGCACAGGGGGGTGAGACGTCCTGCGGGCCCTAAGCTCAACTGCCATTCATCTGCAGCTCCCTCGGGAGGACGTCCCTTCAGCAGGTCCCCTTCTCTCCCGCCCTGTCCCCATCGCCTGCAGCACCCACAGGCACCGCTACCTCCTCCTGTCACCCTGGGCTCCCCCAGTGTCCCCCTCCAGTGAGATCCCCCAGCAGGGACATGACCAGGAGTCCCCTCCTGGCTGGCTGTGAGCATCCCCAGCACGGCCCTGGCCACAAAACTGGGGTGTGGGCGCTGTGCTGGGAAGCCAGGACAAGCCCTGGTGATTGTCCGCATTGCCCAGGCTTTGGCTGGAGCCTGCAGCCACCCTGCCTGCAAAGCAAACAGGGTGGTGGGGTGCAGGTAGGGTGTGAAAAGCACACACAGGGGGTCCCACAGAGCATTTTTCTCTAAGAAAGAGGCATGCACGACACCAGATGTCCTGGAGGTGAGCGAGAACCTGGCTGCTGCCCTGGGGAGCACCATCACCCAGGAGGATTACTGCTCCCGGGGGGGCTGCACTGAGCTGGACGGGAGCCCTCCGCTCTGCCTGGCCACCAATGGCTGCCCCTGCGAGCACCCCGCCGGCGAGCCCCAGCTCCAGGAGAAGCTCAAGCAGCTGCAGCTGGGCAGGGGTCTGGCCCCCAAAGCCGGCACGGCGCCCACAGACCCCTCCTGCCTGCTGACGCCACCCACCACCCCCCTGAACTTCGACTCCGGGAGTCCAGAGTCCCCGCAGGGCACCAGCAAGGGGCTGCAGGAGCCCCGGAGGAACGGGATGAATGGCACCAAAGGCAGCACCCCTGAAGGTACCGAAAGCTGGTGCTGCCCTGCTTTTGGGATGCGGGATTGGGGCACGAGGGTGTTTGCTGCTGTTCTCCTGCGCAGCCCTCCCTGTACACATGGTTCCTGCGGGGACTTTAGTGCTCGGACAAGGCGGGTGAGAGCAGATGAAGCATCTCACCCAGCTCCTGCCCTGGCAGAAAAGCAGTACCCGAGGTCGGCTTTGGTGGGGTTTTGGGGGGCAGCTTTCTGTGGGAGGTTGTGAGGCTGGGTTTGGGCGATGCCAGAGCGGTAAGCCAGTCTCCCCGCTGCTAGGATGCTCGCCGACCCCCTACGACTACCCCACGCCAGAGTCTTCCAGCCGCAGCTCTGCCACCGATGACTTCTGCTACGTCTTCGTGGTGGAGCTGGAGAGAGGACCCATCGGGCTGGGGATGGGGCTGATTGACGGCTTGGTGAGTTCTGACCGATTGCGGGACAGGGCTGATGCCCCTCCAAATAGCTGCAGTGGGACATGTGGGACATGTTTTATACCCCAAGAAAAGCCAGCAAAGATGCTAATGGCTTCCCACAGGAGCTAGGCTGCTTCTCCTGGGGAAAATGAGGCACAGAGTGATCTCTTGGGAGGAGCAGATCTCTGCTCCTGGGTCTCTGAGCCGTGCACGCAAAGTCCATCACAACTGTCCTGCAGCTGGAGAGAGCAAACACGCTCAGCACTCTTGTGGAAAGAAAATGACTCAGCTGAGGTCTTTCCTCCACCCTTCAGCGGGTGGCAAGGGAAGCGGAGAGGAGCAGGGAGGCTCACAGGGTGTCGGAGCAGCTCTGCCAGCGCCGGCGTAAGGCAGCGTTGCAATCTGGCTCAGTGGATCATCTTACTAAGTGGCCTTCCATTAGTCAGTAGGAAACAGGGCATCACCGAGCTCCTGGGACGGCTGTGAGTAAAGAGCTCTCATCCCAAGATGGCTGCAGGTTAACGATGCTTTACTCTTAATTAAACTGAACAAGAAAAGATTGCCCCCACCTCTCCTTTCTGTGTATAAATTGATCTAGAACTGAAGGCTTGCGTTTCCTTCCTGTTAGTGTCACCGTCCCCATCGCCGCCAGGGTCCCGCCTGGCATCAGACACCCGCTTGGCTGTGAGCTGTCACCCTGCCTGGGGAGCTCAGCCCCTTAGGACCACAAATCTTCTGTGTCCCCTCCACCCTGGCTGGTCACTCACCACCTTTCCCTGCCAACAGCACACTCCTCTCTGCTCCCCGGGGATCTACATCCGCACCCTGATTGAGGACAGCCCCGCGGCTGCCGACGGCAGGCTCTCCATTGGGGACCGCATCCTGGCTGTCAATGGCACCAGTCTCATCGGGGCAGACTACCAAAGGTGAGTCGCACCTCGCCGGAGGGCCCCGTCTGCTCTCGGCACTGTGGGAGTTAATGCTCAAGTCCAGGTTTTCAGCTGTTTTGCAGCAAAGAGCTGCACAGGATCTCCGACTGCCTGGTGCTATGGTCCCGGCCAACAGCGCAGAGGATGCTGTGGTACGGGCAAGCGGCAGAGAGAAGAGTGACTTGTGCAGGACACTGGAAAGGGGGGAAGGCAGCTGTGTGGAGGGGTTTGGAAGAGGGATCAGGGAGCAAAAGCTGCAGAGCACATTTAGGAAATAAGTGAGAGCCCCAGAGGTGGGTCTCAGCAATGCAGAGCTGCTCCAGCCCATCCCACGCCAGGCTTCCTCTCAAAGTGGGATGGAGCAGCTCGCACCCTGCCTGGCTGTCCGAGGCAGAGCTCAGGTGCCCACGGGGCAGAGCAGCCCAGGGCTCGTTTGCCCTCGTCCTGGCAGCACTTGTAAGGAGGCCAGGCTTCCCGTAAAGCCACCAGCAGAAGAGAAACAGCCCCTGCTTGTAACACCGAGCAGGCACAAAGCAGAGAGTGGGGGGCATTCTGCAAATGGGGGGGGGGGGGGGTTTTGCAAATGCCGATGACCTGGCAGGCTCCTGGGGGGCTGCCAGCCTGCGGGGAGCCAGAATTCACCTCTCTCCCTGTTGCCACTCTCTGCAGTGCGGTGGACCTCATCCGCTCCGGAGGGAAGAAGCTGCGGTTTCTGGTTGCCAAGTCAGACATGGAAATAGCCAAAAAAATCAGTGCCAGCTCCTCTTCCTCCTAGTTCTTGTGGTACAAGGGTCCTTGTGCAACAGCCTGCAAGCACGGCTCTGGTTAAGGCTGCCCTCGGGGAGCCTGGAGTGCAAGAGGGAGGACCAGGACTCCACAACCGCCCTCGATTTGCTTTTCGACACCTTGCCCCTGCGCTGCAGCAGATGAAAGGACATGCAAGGGCGATGCACGCTTCTCCCACCGCGCTGGCTGGGAGCATCATTCCTGATCAATTGCCTGGCCTCATCTTATATCCTGTGTCATCCTTCTCAGGAGCTTTCCTGTTCCTTCGTCCCCTCTGGCAGGGGACAGGAAGGGGATGCTCCCCCCATGGGGGCTGTAGGCAGGCTTCTCCATTCCTCTAGGCTGACAGCTCGGCATGATCTCTCATGCTGGCAGGCAGAAGGCTTGAAACACCTTTGGGACTTAAAGATTAGCATGTGGGGCAGGCCCGGGCTTCACTGTAGCAGTGGCCACCTGAGGTGCTGGCACATCAGGCTGGAAAAGGGTGCCCAGCTCTGGGGGTGGTAAAGGCAGCACAAGCACCCAGGAGCAGGATTCCAAGCAGGATGCATTGCTAGGAGTCAAGTTCCCCGATGCCATACGCCTATGTCAGGTGCCTTTCTGCTGCTGGGCTACAATCACGCTGCCCCCAGCCCTGCTTCGGGATGGGAAGCAGCCACAGCAAAGGGCTGACACCACCAGCAGTTCCCTGCGAGTCCTGGGGGGACCCCCTTGAAGAAGACGACCCTCTCACCCTTGCTCATGCAGCAGATTTATTGCCTGGCTCTGGCACCATGATCCTGGCAGAAGGCCCCCAGGACTGACCCACCAGCGCAGGGCATTCACAGCAGAGAGTTTCCCCACGCAGGAGCTGTTGCCCTCGCCAAGGGGCTATGGCCAGCTTAGTGCTTCTGAGCCTGCCCCTGGTCCCGGCGAGCTGGGAACGGTGACTTTGTGCCACCAGGAACCTGAGCGAGCCCGGCAGCGTGTGGTGCCAGAGCCCAGGTGTGGCTGACACCAGCCCAGGCAGACAAACCACATCTTGGCACCGTGTCCTAGTCCTCTCCCTCCAGTTTTGCCAGGCCATCGTAAGGCCACCCTGTTTCCTGCCCAGCTTGGAGCATCTCAGAAGTGCGTGCTGCTGACATACCGACGGGTGACGATGGGCAGCGAAGGCTCGCTTTGGAAGGTCAGTCTTGAATGTCCCAGAAACAGCTCTGCTACCTGCTGCCAACAGCAGTGGTCTCAGCAGAGCCGAGATGGCAGCTCCACCGCGCGGCTGGCTGGCCCCCTGCACACCCGGCCTCCTGCCTGCTATGTCCTCTCTGTGCTTTCAGCAACGTTCACGGGATAAACCCGACCTGTTTTCCACATATAGACAGATACCGAGACCTAGTTTAGCCAAACCCTATTAAAACAGCCTGCTGCAAAGCCCTACATCACACCCTGCACTTAAACCAGCATGGTCTAGGCTCTGGCAGCAAATCAGATATTCACATGGCATCTCACAACAAGAGTTCTCCAAGGATTGGGATGCTAAAAAAGGGATGCTTAACAGGGTTGGCCTTAATTAAACCTCAGATACTTCACTGCTGTAGTTTTGGTTCCTGTGCTTAATCTTGCACTTTGCAGAAGGAGAGAGATGTCAGAATAATCCATGCAGGGGAAACACTCCACTACCGGATTTTAATGCAGCCTGGCCTGCCTTTTGTAGGGTGAGACGGACCTTCACGGAGACACTAGTGCCTTGCTTCTCTGCTAGACCATGCTCACGCCAACTGGCCTGGGGTGCGGCCCAGCAGGGACTGGGAGCAAAGCATCCCTCCGGCCCCTGACTCAGCTGTACCGGGCAGGCGAGCAAAGGCTCAGGGCCCCACAGGGCTCCTGGTGATTCACTCGACTTCGACTCAAGTAGTACGTTGGCCTGTCAACCTCCGCAGAGCTTAGCAGGTTTGTAGGGTGGGAAATGGGCTGCCTCAAGCCCCTGGGCAAACTCCGTGCACCCTACTCCCCTCTGCCCGAGAGCCAGGGCTCAGGGGAGGCTTGGCTTGCACTAGGCAGTACTGGGGCTGCACCCTGGCAAGTTCCAGCGGTACCAACCTAACCCTCTGCTCCCCACTGAGCCTGACCCTCCAGGCACTCCTGGTGGCAAACAGCCCCAGAGCTCTATGTTGATCACAGGGCAGTCAGGTGTTGAAACAGACTGTAAATAAACCCGGCTATTTACTAGCATGCATGAGGGCTTGCTTCTCCTGGGAGGAGCAGTGGGACATATTTACTTCCCCCATTTGTAAATACTGTACAGCTCGAATGTGTATAAACTTCTCATGCAGATACAGAACACAGCATGGCACCTGTTTGACGCAGGGCTGATGTATGTTAAGAAATGCTCTTGGTGTCAACGATAAACTGGATCAATAAATCCCTCTAAGCTCCCGTCTGGTAGCTGTCTCTTGGATCTTGACATGTTCACTCTGATGGTAAGGCAGAAGAGCAATGAGGACTTGCAGCAGACTTAATGGAGTCACTTCTGCTTTCTCCACCTCGCACAGGCCTTTGCTTGGCTGATCTGCTGCAAGCAGAGGCAATAAAAGCAGCACGTGCATAGCCAGGGTGTAGCGAGGGCAAAGGGGAGGGAGAAACAAGTCAGAGGAGGGGAGGGAAGAAGAGGTACGTCTCCAAAGGGGCACGGTGTGCTGGCAGGGTATTAATGCATGCACTCACCCTCCTGCCACATTCACACAAATCCACTGGGAATTTCCACTCATACAGGCCAGGGAAAAATAAGACAAGCATAGGAGACAGAAAAGCAACAGGTGCTAGGAGACAGAAATACAAACAGCCTCAGACCAGAAGACCCGCTTCAGTTCTACTTATTCCTGTTTTCTGTTTCATTCACAATCACGTGTTCCTCATTTCCAGTTCAGAGCAGGGCGTCAGCAGTGTCCGATGGGTTACAACAGAGGCTGGAGCCTCTCAGAAACCTCATGCCCTCACCCTGGTATGAAGCCAGGAGCTGGCTCTAGGAGACGGGTGACTATCCTCAGGGCGAAAGGGAGGGAGTCATTCACCTCTCTCTGAAACCGTGTACTGGCCACACCTACAGGCGGCGTGAACACAAACTGAGCCACGCTTGGCATTTTCAGTAGGTTCATGAGCTCAGTGGCCCGGATAAGGATCTCCTCAAGGTCCTCCTCGCAGTAAACAGAGGTGACAGCAGGGCTCTGCACAAATGTCCTCATCTTGGACAGGAACATGGACACTCTGCAGGGGAGAGAAGGACATGGACATCAGCTGGCAGGACCTCTGCACCCAGCAAGGTCACTACTTAAGCCTGTGTACTCCAAAAGACTGTTGTAGGTGAACACCAGATGCTACCCATCCCCTCCTCCTGATGCACAGAGCGTTAGTCAGCAGATGAATCCCACTTCCCCAAACTGTGCTCCTCCACAGCCTGCTTCCTCTGTCCTGTTTCAGCTTCAGGTTCTATCAGTTGCCAAGCTTGATTATTTAACATGAACCAACAACTGTCTTTGGACACATCAGGTCTGCATGTTTCAGCCCTTTGCCCTTCCCCACCATCCCTCCTCACCTGGGGATCAAGTCCTGGCTGCGAGCTGCCAGCTTGGTCAGGGTGGCCATAAGGACACTGATGGCGCGGGGTGCGTAGCTGGGGGTGCTAGCCAGTGGTCGGAGCTGGGTGATTTCAAACAGCATGGCCTCCAGAGTCTCAAAGAACCTGTTGATCTGCTCCACAGTGCAGCGCTTGTCATAGGACACAGACATGTACTCTCCAATAGCCCAGACCTGAAACGAAGACAGATGTGGTCAGGGCAAGCAGAAGGAAAGGGGATCGAATAATTTTTAGGGAATGGCAAATCAGATTAGGACAGAGGAGAGGAGGAAAGGGAAGCTGACCAACAGATTGCACTGCGGTTGGAGCACCTGTGGCAGAAGCAGGCAGGCCCTGCTTACCATGTGGGTGAAGATGGCCTCCTTGTTCTGGATGTTGCTGACTGTTCCTGAGAACTCCAGAATCTCCTTGGACAGTTCCACGATGAGTGCAGGGTGCAGCTTGCAGAGCATCACCAGCTGTGAGCTCAACACCCTGGAGGAGAGAGACGGACAGAGCTCAGATCATGGGCAAGGCGGTCATCACCAAACCAAGGAGCTGCTGGCAGCACCCAGCCCCAGGCACAGTGGCTGTACACTCAGGATGCTTCCAGCAGGGCTGAAGGTGCAGCTCCCATTTTGCATCCTCCAAAGACGTGTTGCAGTAGGGACCACAGCTGAAAAGGCTCCTGGGCTGCCCTGGGATGCCAGGCTGCAGCCAGTGGAAGGGCCGGGAGCTTGGCTGGGCCTCCTGTCCCATCTCACCTGTACACGTCATCTTTAAATGCTGGGATCTCATAGAGCTGGTCACTCCTCTGCAGCAGCAGCACCACCAGCTGGTTTATTAGCGGCCCATCTGCAAACTGAAAAACAGCCCTTGTTTCAGCAATACCAGTGATTTCCAGCAGCCAAAACCCAAACTAACCAGCCAGGTAAGACAGCTGGCACAGCCTGATCTCGCAGGAGGGGAGCAGTGCACAAAGCAGGTATCAGGCACTCATTCTGCCCTCACCCACCTCCTTTACAGCTGGCTAAGAGAACAGTGTGAAGGCTGATGCTGCACCGTGGAGTTTCTGCTTCTCCAGATGAAGTAGCCAGCTCAGTGCTGGTTCATGCCAATATTAGACCATCCCACCCTCCCCTCATGCACCCCTCTGTTGAAGCTGCAGTGTCTTAATAATTTTGCTTCTGTGACTGCTCTTCACATAACAAGAGATCCCTACAGCATGACTGGGAACCAAACTCCCCCAAAAGGGCCTACCTCTGCCACCACCCTGAAAAAGAGCTCCAGTAAGACAGGGACAGTCTCCGCACATTGCATGACCCTTGGGTTGCTGGCCACAGATCCCAGCAGCTGTCGAAGTGGAATCAGCCTGTGGGCAACAGAAGAGTTACTGT